TGAAGAAATCCACACTCAGGTGCTTCCCAAACAAACACCAACTGACGGCCCTGCCTCGAGGACTCGAAAAACAAAGCACCCATCCCCTTCGTTGCCCAGCCCTAGCCTAGCCAAAAAGCCTAAAGCCCTAAAGCTGCCAGCGCCTTCTAGATCGAAATTGCTAAAGACCGTTTCCTCATCTTAGAGGAAACGGTGCATTAGTGGCTCATCTGTTTTGCAGGTACCACAAACACCAAGTTCAACAAAGTGTATCAACATCGTACCTGCCGGCCAGACGTCTTTCCAGAAGTTCGTGGACCCCGCAGCTAAGGCTAGCTACAAAGTCATTAAGAGCAGATATCTCTACCACGAGAAGGGTTTTGTAGCGGTGGATATGCCCCAAATTGTGAAGGAGGGCGCAACAAAGAAAAAGTGGGAACATTTCTGTGCGCCCCCTACGCTGGTGCTTCCAGAGCTGGTGCGGGAGTTTTACGCCAACTATGATGCTGACAGAGTGGGACACACAGTGGTGCAGGAGGTGGAAGTGGATTGCATGCCCGAGTGAATCAACAAGGTCCTCAAGCTGTCGAGTAACCCTTGGGCCGAGTTTAATCAGCTTGTCCAGTAGACCTCCATCAGAGAGCTTGACCATGCCCTGCAGTTAGTAGGGATAGAAGGCGCGTCTTGGCAAATCACTAAAAAAGGCGCCCGCTCCTTAAAGTCTGGTCAGCTCACTTCTAAAGCAAACGTTTGGCTCTACTTTGTTAAGAGCCGAATCATGCCAACAATGAATGATTCGTCTCTTACAAAGGACAGGGTCCTTCTGTTGGCTTGCATCCTTGAGGGGTGTTCTATTGACGTTGGCCAGCTCATCCATCGGGAGATTGCCGATTGTGCAGCAAAGAGATCTGGCCGCCTATTTTTCCCAAGCCTCATCACCAAGCTCTGCCTCCACAGAGATGTCCCCGTTCTTGATGACGAGGAGCCCATTAAAGACAAATTGGTTATAGACAAGCATACGCTGAAGCGTCTAATGCTCCAAGACCCTTATCGCTGTAGAGTAGTGCTTGCAACAGCCATCAATGAAATGATGGCTCAACTCGAAAAGCTCCAGAAGCAGCTCACACATATGGAGGAGGCGCAGTCAGCCTTTGCAATACAAGCAAAGAAGCGGG